GCTTGTTGTGCATGTTTTCCTGTCAGTTATATTTCCTATTTTACTAATATCATAGCCCTCATCTCTGTCCAGCCCTAGTTTAAACATACCACTACAGCTGAGTGCTTACATGCTAGTCCCTGCTTTGTTTAAGTGTAAGTAATCGATTCCAAAAATATCAACTTACCCATTAAAATTATCCCACAAATTCAACCAGCCTATTTGCTAATCCCTACATATTGATCTAAGCGTGGCATTCAATCATAGTGACCTACTTAGTATCTCATCCCTACAATTTATTCTTGGCAATATCCCTGACAAAATCAATCTATGACCCCTTTCCTTAAATGCCCTTACCAAAGTTTTCAACTTATCAATAAGCTCCTTAGATCCATCTTTCCTTACATCATTAACCCCAACATGTACCACAAAAAACTGCATTGCTACTAGCACCCTTAACTATCTCTCTGGTTCTGTCAATTATATCCTGTACCCCTGCTCCTGGATAGCATAAGCATATTGTTGCGTCAGCGAGGTCACGTGACTAGTGTCACGCCACGTTTTCTAGAAATATCCTGTTCCTTCCTGAATGCCCTAGTATTTACTAGATTGGGGGTAGTCTGGTATATATAGGATGGTCACAACGTGATGGAAAAAGTGTGTAGGTAATGAGTAATTGAACTGCAGTCAGAGAGAGACTTATTGTTGAAGTCGAGCTCGTGAGACGTGAATTATAGTTTGTTATAGCGCGACTTTTGAAGTTGAGTGTATCGTAAAGTTGTATTCGGAAAAAGAATAAACCAGTTTTATTTAAGAAAGAACTTGTTTCGCTAAAGTTTAGTTGGAAAGAATTTACGGAAAAATTAATTAACAAACGGAGACGTAACAATATTCTTTTGCACCTATTTACTCCACATACTACTCTGTCTACATGCCTAACTAGAATCATCTAAAACTATAACTTCCCTATCCTTTACACTCTCATCCCTTGTGATCCCATCTGTTTCCCTTACCTGCTCCCACTTCTCACTAGCAAGTGATTAGAACTGGTTGCTTAATTAGAAAGCATATTAATCAGACTAATTTTATGACAGTTTTTTTTATTTCTGTAACTTGAACCATTCTGTAAACAAGAAAAATTCATGCTTTATATGCATATAAAATAAAAGAAATTGAAATTAATTTTTTCAAGTTTAAAATGTTGATTTTTTTTTTCTTAACACTGATGTTTTAATCCTTTTGTTCCCTTATTTTTCTAAATGAGTTTTTCTTATTCTGTTTGTAAATTTTTTCTTTTAGATGTTTGGATTCAGAGCACTGGGAATTACCATTAGATCCTCAAAAAGAGGTTGTTGGCAAATCCTTGGTAGAAGAAGGAAGTTGGGACCTACAGGAAGTTCTGGATGAAACCATTGGTGCACTGGATCTGTTTCTCAACAATAAATTTAATGAGTCTCTTAGTATTATATCATCCAGGTTAGAATGAAGTTTTATAACTGTGAGTTTCTTTGATTGAGTTATAACAGCATAATGAACTTTTACAAGTGTTAATTCTCAGTTAACAATAATGGAAACATGTCAAAAAGTTAATAAATATAAGCATTGTATAACTTTAAGTAAATTATCAATGATAACTATTTTTATTTTAAATTGAGTTTTAGTTATATAGTTAATCTTACTAAAGCTCTATGTATCCAAATACTAACTATTATAATATATATTTGATTATTATCATCAACCAAAAAGTATGAAATTGAAATAACTAATGATAATTTACTAAACCTGACTGCAGGGTTTTAATGTTTGTAATACAAATTTCACATGAGCAAATTTACCTGTGTTTATTGTTTACCAAAATGTATCATTATATATTGTGTAATGCATTATACTTTTGTAATGCCATAATCTATAGAGCACATACCAGTATTTATCATGGAGTAGGTCGTGGAATGGTGTTGTTTATACAAGCAGTAATGACAATGGAAACGGTAAGATTGTTCTCTCTTTATGACCATTATGCATTTTTATTATGTATCAAATTCATTGATATGTTTTTGATTTTTATGAGATATTCTATAAGAAAAAATATTTTTATCTGCAAAAGATTAATAGAACCTGCTGAGGTCAAAAGTCACTTCTGCTATGAGTGATGGATACTTTTTTGTTATTTAATGTTATTTTATCATCATATTTAAAAATGTTAGGCACATTAGGTCAAGAACATATTTCTGAGGAATTATGGGAAAGATTATGAGATGCTCCTTTGCAATATATCATTAAGAACATTTTAGGACTTAAGCATAATTCAAAACTGTAAGTTAAAATTAATAAATACCTTAGAATACAATTAATTTTAAGTAACTGTTAGTCTAATAGATTTTCTCTATCATAGTATTATAGTTAGCAAAGTATGATTGACTACAAAACTACAACAAAAAAGATGTAACTTATATGTATGTATGTATGTATGTGTGTTTTGCTTTTCTAAGTATAATCTTTATAATTATAAAAATAAATTATTTTAAAGTTGAGAGAATCTGAGTATCACAAAACTTTAAGGCTTTGTATATATTGTTTTCAACTAGTGAATGTGAGAGCATTTTCTGCATCCATAGTTATAAATAACTATATACCTATTTGTTTACTACCTTTTTATCAACTTTTAAAGAAGTGACTTTAAAAGTAAATCAGTTATTGAAATGAAATGAGTGCATTTCATAAAATATACATATGTATTTATATATACACGGTTTTAAACAACAACTTCATAAGAAATTATCTGTAATGTGATATAGTGTTTAAGAGATGTTTATTTATTGTCAATAGAGTGATATAGACCTGGCTATGGATGCTTTGAAACAAGCTGTTAAAGTCTCTCAGAGATACAGGAAGAAAGTGTCCACTGTATCTCGAATCTTTCATCGTCCCGATTACAATACCTATACTGAAGGTGGGTAATGCAGTTATTATTCTAAGATCCCATGAGTGAAAGTAAAAGAAAATATATTATATGTCAACCACACTACATCTGATATATCCAGTACCGACAAGGCCTTTTCCCCAATAGACTGTCTGAGGTACAACACACCTAGGTGCTATATATATTTTCATGAACAACAACTGTTAGGGTGTGAACCTGATTAACTAAGTGAATTGTAATTATTATCAATTTTATTTAGAGGGTGCTACAGAAAAGAGAAGACATTGAAAATTTAAGCTATTATCAATTTTTTTTTATTTATTTAATATTAATATTAACTTTTGTAGTAATTTGGGTTAAATAACACAAAAATAACTAGATTTAGTAAGATTGGTAAATAAAAGTAAGATGGTCAAAGTTTTAACTTAGAATTTAGTGGTATAAATTGTACTACAATGTTAAATTAGATTTAGTATGTGTAATGGCACTTTAAGCTTAGCTATTATTCAACTTACTGGTAAATCATAAAACAGGTTGAAAACATTGTTTTATTAAATAAATAGAGTCTAAAGACTAATTTATTGTTTCTTTGTGTTTTAAGAATCAACTAGTTTACTGGAACTTGGAGAGGGGGGGATGGCTTTATATGGGAGTTACATCCTGTTGAAGTTGAGGATATCAAAGGATAATAGCAAGGAGATTGAATACATTTGGGTTTCTATTAGTAGATTTAAAGGGAAAAGGCTTTTAGTGGGAATTTGTTACAGACCATCAGATGATAGTGATGAAATTAGAGAGAAACTTTACGATGAGATTAAGATTTCAGCTGCTAATGAAGTTATAATTGTGGGTGATTTTAATTTCAGGCATATAGATTTGAAAATGGAGAGTCAAACTGTTAGGGATAAAAGTTTTTGGAAACTGTTCAAAATGGCTTTCTTCACCAGTTAGTCAAGGAACCAACTAGAAACAATGCTATTTTAGATTTATTGTGAACTTCAAGCACAGATTTGATAGAAGGGGTGGAAACTGGGAAACATCTGCAAGTGATCATTGTTCAATGTTTTACTGCATATAGATATAAGGAATAATAATATTTTGGTTACAAATTTTGAATGGATGCAACAAGAACTATCTGTTTGAATTCGGTAGCTGAGTTGTTTGGAGAACCTGATGTCAAAGTTTTAAAGATAAATTTCTTAATATTCAATGTAGACATATTCCTTGTAGAAAGAAAAGGGGTGGCTGCAAGTAAAAATCCAGATTGGCTCACAAAGAGTATAAAAGATAAAGTTAAAGATAGGCATCATAAATTTAAGAAATTCAAATTGACTGGTATGGCAGGAGAATTAGAAGATCAAGAACATCAAAAAGGGTGTATGAGAAAAATTTGGCTGAAAATGTAAAAAATTAGCAATAAAGATTTCATTAAATACATTAAAGGTAAACAAAATGTTAAGATGGGAGTAGGACCATTGAGGAATAATAAAGGAAGGCTAGTATCTGATGGTTATGAAATGGCTGGGTTACTAAATTTTGCTTTTTCTTCAGTGTTTTACTAATGAATATTAAAGCAGTATTCCACACCTTTAACAGTTGATAGTTGGAAACAAGATGACTGCATTAATTCTGAGCTTGTAAAGAAAAAATTGGGAAGTTCAAAGAATGATAAAGCTTCTGGACCAGATAATATTTCCCAAGGGTTTTGAAGGAGGTTAGGGATTGGATATGTGAGCCACTTGCTTCAATTATTTGTATAAGTCCTTGAATAGTGGGCAGGTAGCAGCGGATTAGAAGTTATATAATGTAACTCCTCTTTTCAAGGGAGGTGATATAAAAATTGTCCCAGTAATTATAGGCCCATTAGTCTTACAT